AAAAAAAATGACTGACTCATCTTACACAACGAATTACGATGTCTAGCAGAAAGATGTCGTGTGGAGACTGCAGAAGAAAGAGATCAAAAAGAGTGGGTGTAAATGTATCTTATTTATCTCACCGACACTCACATCCTCATTGCAATGTAAGCGAAAACTTCGAGAAGGATTTATTCATTAAGACAAGATTAGTGTAATCAATGATCGAATTTATTTTATATTTTGTGTGAATACAACATCAATCAGTAAGAAAAGAAAAAATATTTGTTCAATTTGATAAAATATTAAAGTTGTCTTCGGACGTCATCCAACAATGTTTGAAATTTGGTATTATCTCTGTTGAGTAGATCAAAAAGTCGTTTTCGAGCTTTTTGTACAATTCCATGGTACATTGATGACAATGATGAAAAACGAGTTTCTAACAAAACAATAATAATAGCTGTCACGATTAATTCTTGGTTTGTTGATCGTCGAAATTCATTTAATGATTTTCCGGTTAATTTTTTAATAATTTCTGAATCGAAATTCCACAGACCATTGAAGTTTTGTTTTCCAATTAAATAACGAACAATATTTTGATCATCTGTTGGAGATTCTATTTCTTTTATTTTTTCTCCTGTATTTTCTTCGCTGGCGTGGTTGAAAGCACTGGAAGAATCCGACGAACTTGACCATTCGGCCATCCGCGAGTTACATTGTCTCAGTAAAGGTAGTTTAGGCCGAATCACTCGCTGCAAGGTGGAACAGGCAGACACACGACTCACGAGCTTACACTCAGGGAGCACCGTGGACATAGGCTCACGCTTATCGCACATCGAGGGCATAGGCACACCGCTATAGCACTGCGTGGACATAGGCTCATGCAAATCGGACGTTGTAGCCGTAAACGCAAACTTATGGCACATGAAATGCGACACAGTTGTACAGGATACTCTCGAACTTTGTGTTTGTAAATGTTGATCATCAGCTGATATTTGAATTGGAACTTCACGTAATAACATTTGATCATTATTTCCATTTAAACGTTTTTCAATTCCAACAAATGAAGTATATGGACTAAGAATATTATATTTTAATGATAATTCAATAATACGTTTTTTTATTTCATCTTTATAATCATCAGCTGATTTTGCTATCTGTTGATTATACTCTTGAAATCTTGTTTGTTGTGATCCTTTTTTAGTTGATGATGGTAATTGTGAATGTTGTAATTCAAGAATAAGTGCTTTACCAGCTAAACGATGAATTGTTTCATTATTAGTAACATTCGGTATGCGCTTAACATTTGCTTCACTTAATTTATTTGTATCATTATATAATTCAATTGTTGTATTATGATTAAATACAAATGATTCATCATTTATTAATCCATATACAATTAAACGATCATTTACATATACTGGTGGAATATTTGTTGGTGCAGTTGTTATTTCAGTTAGTAAATTCCATTTTATTTTAATATTTGTAATTGATGGTTGAAGAGCTTTTTCTAATTGTTGTCCAACATAAATATCAACATTTGTCGAAGGTGGAATAAAACAAAAACAACCATTTGTTGAACGTGCTAAACCTTTAACTAATGAACGACTCGGAGATTTTCCTAAACCAAATGAAAAAATTCGACATGATTTCGACATTGAACGACATAAATTAAGAACTTCATTAACATTTGATATTTCGCCATCAGTAAGAAGAAAAATTTGTCGACAACGACCTTCTTTTGGTGAATGTTCTTCAACCCATTTTAACGGTTCTAACTTTAAAATAAAAAAATCAAATGATTTTTATATTATTATTATCATTAAAAATCAACTTACTAATTGAGTTCCACCTAGATCAGCTTCCATTTTATTTATCAATTGTTCAGCTTTTTTGAAATTTTCTTCATTATAAATAACTGTTGCATCATTAAATAATAATTCATAATTGGTACCAAATCGAATTATATTAAAATAAGAATGTAATGGGAGACTTTTAAGAAAAAGTAACATCGATTGACGAGCAAAACCAATTTTATTTTCATCTTTCATTGATCCACTACAATCGACAATAAATAAAAATTCATTTGTTATTTCAATATTATTATTATTCATTGCTTGTTGATAATCTTTTTCATTTAGTGTAAATGAAACCATTAATGCATTTGATTCTATTGCTAAAATTGTATTTGATCGATCTTTAGTTAAATGAATATCAAGAAGAATATCTCGATCTAAATGAGTGTTATCTTGACCAAATTTAATCATATAATAATCTTGTTGACTGAAATCAACTTGAATTGGATGTGATGATGAACTAACACTTGAAATATTATTTTTCTCAATTTCACATTGAAATTGAATTGTATATGGACTTGATTGAACATATTTAGAATTTGTTTCAGCCGGTGATGTAATTCCACCTTTAGCTGGATCATAACGAGGAGCAATCGTTGTTGGAATAACAAAACGAATGTTTTTACCATTATTAACCAGATCTAATTCTGTAACATAAGAGATTGTTATATGACATTCTTTACCAGGTGGAAGAGCACCAACATTAATTATGAAATTATCTTGAGAATTTTCATCTTGTTCAAGTAAATAAGCGCCATGACCTTCGTGAAGAGCATCATTATATTCTTTTTGTGCTTCTTTTTTCTCTTTTAATTGAGCTTCAATTTGTCGATCATCAATTCGAGCAGTAAAAGCATATATAGCTGCTTGTTCTTCAATAGGAAAACAATAAACAGCTTCAATTGGAATTGTTTCATCATTACGAAATATTTGTTTTATGGTTACATCGGCTGCAAATGAATGAATTTTTCCTTCGATACTAATTTCTTTTAATGGAACATATTTGTCAGTAGCAATATTTGCTTGTGAATTCTTTTTAATTCGAAGCATGATAATAAAAAGATTTGAATGTGTGTGTGTCTATATTCGTTTGTTGTCTTCTCTTTATATACCTTTCCACTATATTATATCAGCTCACTAATGAAATATAATCTATAATGAAGAATAAAAACATAAAAGAGAAAGAAATGTATTAAATCAAAAACTCTTTGAGAAAAATGTTCCCGCACAACGAATAAACAATGTTGTGAACAATATCGATATGTTTAACCGATTGATGATCCGATAAGAAAATGCGAAAAATTTGATCAGGGGATCAGACAATCAGGAAAATATGATGACGAAAAATAGTATTATTGAACCTGAGATGTCTTTAATAGTTGTATTTGTATGACAAAAAACGAAACTGTAATGCAAAAAATAATCATTTGTAGATTCCTATGGAAGAAAAAGGCGACCCACGTATTATCTGATAGATTTATGATATTTAGAAAACTACAATTTCAGTTGCGAAAAGAAATGAATGTTCTTCTCAATCTGTGGCGACAGATATAGAAGTTTTATATGGATCTGTTGTCACTCTCGAGATTTGAAAAAGAGATTTTATCGAAAAAAACGGTTTTCTCTAGAATGTGAGAATTGCGACGTTACCAGTCTATTCTGGAAACGGTATGCTCTCTTTGCATAAGTACTCATGTCTGTTATTCTGCTAAGTGATGATATTCTTTATAGGTCATCGATATGATGAACACTTGAACCTCCTAATGAAGCTGCTTAAAATATTTCTCATCAAAATAATGTTATTACATTTGCAAACTCGTAGCAGATTTTCTCAAACGAATTTTTTAAGAAGTAATTGATACAATATTCTTGTTGTAACCTACACAGATAAATTTGTCTTTGGATTTTTGCCTATCTCACTAAAAATGCCTGTTACGACTTCGTCAATGTCAAAACTTTTGAAAAGAAGAACTTGCGACTATGAAGGATGTAATAACTGTCCTATTTTTCTCTTATTTTGGAAAAACTTCTTATGAATAAACGCTTATGAAATTTGGATATGTTCACTCACATATACAGAACACAAATATGTATTATCTATATTGAATTGTTTCTCGACTGTTAGTGTAGAGTAAGAATTAAATAGATAGCGAACTTCTGCAACTACTCACTATATGAAAAGGGAAAAGAACAAACTAATGAGCCAGCGAAGAAAAGAAAAACAAACTTTTTTCCTCCTTTCTTCATATATTAACAGGTAACGGACGATAGAACGAATGATGAATTTATCTTAAGATGAAACTATAGGTGTGAGTCGTCAGCTAATTTTTGCTGAAGCTGACGGCTGACAAGCGGATGTTTTTGCCATAGCCGGCTGTGACGGTTTCTGATGGAAGAGTCGAAGTACGCGCTGATGGAATTACGCTTTTATTTATATCTTCTTCTCAACAATTGCATCGTTTTAATACAAAACACACGCTTAGATACTCGTCCATCAAACAGAATAAAAGGAAAGGTAATGTCAAAGTACATCAAAATGAACTAAAGAAAAACATAAAAAGTTTAAACCATCAGATGAAAAGAATGTAAAGGACAAAATAGCATGCGTACAGCGCATGTAAACGACAGCATCACACCGACGGCTTATACCTCTACATAGTACGAAGAAAGAAAATTTGATTCGACTAATTATTGGAACTTAGTGTAGTGATTAAATTCTAACTTATCTATTATATATCATAAGAAATACAAAAATAAACTAACTTGATTATCTCAGTTGATCATACTTACGCTTTAGCAGAAGATTAGAAGAAAAGGTTTTGAATACTATTTTATTAGCGGACAAAGGAATGATCTATACAGTAACTAGTTAATAAAATTCATCCGCTGCAACTAAATAAAAGCTAGGCTTCTCAAGAAAAGTACAGCAATGTTGAATAAGATGATCTTAACCTGGATGTGGGTGACGTTTTCTTTTGTTTACCCACCCACACCCTTTGTCTTTATTTTTATTTAAATTGGAAAATAAATCTATACAAAAACGAAAACACTTTAAAGTTTTCTATTTTAAAAATAATCATTGCATGAACATTGTCCATCTGTATGGAAATGATGAATTCGATTAGCATCACGAATAATAATTTCACATTTTCGTATAGCAGCGATTAATTTAATGGCTCGATCTATGAAAAGAATATAGAGAATTCGAAAAGAAAAGAGACAATAATAATCACGTACGACAATCACCACAAACACGACGATTGTTTGTTACTTGTATTCGTTTTACATTAGGATTTTCAAGAAAATTCCATGCTATTGCAAGTCTTTCACTATGTCCACAAAGAACTGATTCAATAGTTTCATCTTGATTCAATGGTCGTGTAATCCAGCTTGAATCATATTGATGACCATGTTGAAGAAGTTCTTTTGATATTTTCTTAACTTCAGCATAAATTTCATTTGATCGAGGATGAGATTGGTCATGAGCACGAAATTGCTGAAAGAAATCAGTTCATATAATTTCTATTGAAGATTAATATCGTAATTATAGACTTACAGATATTTGTCCATTGATCACAGTCCATGAAAGACCAATTTTTTTCTTAGCGTCTAGCTTCTGTAATTCTTTTTGAATATTTGATGCTTTTTCAAGGTCACTTATTGATGCATAAACATTATTAAGGAGAGTTGTAGCTGCAGTTAATGGATCTGATTGTTCAGGAAAAACTTTCTTCATACGATCATAGATGTGTTGTGCTAAAGAGCTATTGTTGACATTTCTGGCACCCGACAATAATGCCACTAGAATGAAAATTGTTATTCTTAACATCCGAATATTCAATTAAAATACTAACTGTACATAGTTAATACAGGTAAATGATCACGTTCATATTCATTAATCAATTGTTGTGCTTGTTGAAAAAAAGATGCACGACTAAAACAATCAATCTAAATATTAAAAAAAAAAGACATTTTGTTAAAATGAAATCTTTGTTCCATACCATTGCTCCATAAATACTTTCAGTTTTAACTGAAATATTCTTGAAGATTGACTGAGCTTCAGCAACAAGTCCTGAATGTGAACATGCATTTAAAATACAGACATGTGTTATTTCATCGAGAAATTTTTCTGATAATTGACGAAAAAGCTCAATTGCTTGAATACCCATTCCATTTAAACCATAACCATTCACTAATTAATAAAAATAATTCATGAAAATTTTCTCCAAAAACAAACAAACTCATTGCTGTGTATCCAATTCGATCTGGTTGAGAAATTTTATCAAAAATTTCTTTAGCTTTATCAATAGATCCACTCTTACTCTAAATTAATAAACTCTTTTTAAAGAAAAAATATCAAAATAATTTTTTTTTCTTTTTTTGAACTTACCCACATATCAATTAATGCATTTTGAATTTGATTATCCAAAAGAAAAGAATTAGGAATTTGTTTAATAAATAATTGACATATAGAATAATCACCAATTTGTGATAAAGCTTTAATAAGACAAAGATAAATAATTATATTTCCTTGAATATGATTCATTTTCATTTGATTAAATAAATCTAATGTTTTCAATGGATTATTTTCTTTATTGAATCCATTCATTAAATTTCCATAATTAATTATAGATTTTTTCGTTTTTGAAAAAAGACTTTCTGCACTTGCACAATCACCACATTTTATAAATGCATCCAATAATGAATTAACAAGACGAGAATTTAAATGAAAATTTTCAGGCATTTCTTTTGAAACTTTTTTAACTATATATAATGCTTCTTTTGTTCCAAGACGAGCACAAGCATTAAATAGAACAATAACATTTATATCACTTGGATTTTTTATTTGATTAAAAAGATCAATTGCTTTATTTAATTGATTATTTTCTATATAACCTTTCATCATAGCGCCATACATTGGTAACACTTTGTTTGTTGTTTTATTAAATAATGATTCAGCATATGTAGTATCACCACATTTCATTGATGCATCTAATAGAGAAGTTAATAAATAATGATTTGAACGAAAAGATTTGGGCATTTTTTCATAAGATTTTTTTGCTAAATTCAATGCTTCGACAGTTTTTAATTCAGCACAAGCATTAAATAAAAGATTTAGAATAATTTCATTAGGATTTTTTATTTCATTGAAAAGATTTATTGCTTTATTTGCTTGATTATTTTTTATATAACCTAAAGAGACACCATTCATTAAATGGATTTTAGATCAAAAAAAAAGAACAATATTAATTAATCTTACCTTTTATCATTGCTCCATAAATTGGCAATGTTTTTTCTTTAATATTATTATATAATAATTCAGCACGTGTTACATCACGACATTGCACTAGATTAGAAAATAAAATAAGAGTAAACAAACTTTTGTTACACTTTACTATATAAATGGATTAATGATGCTAATATCAAAGAATCATCTTTCATAGATAATGGGATGAGATGATGAATAGTTTGACCACGTTGAAGATCTTCAAGCTGAGTACATGCTTTTAAAGCTTGTGTAATAATATAAGTCGAAGCAGTTTTAATATTATTTTTCTTATGTATATCAAATAAATCGAGTGCTTTTCCGAATTGTTTATTATCATTGAACGATTTCATTTTCATACCCAAATCAAAATCAGATGGAATAATTATCGAACGTCTTACAAAAATCATCAATGATGATAAACGAGAATTTAATAATCTGATCAACATCAGTTATTTGAAGTACTAACACAAAAGTAAGAGTAACGAGTTCTTCTATCTATTTCTAAATTTGATTTTTAATTCATTATATTGGATACTAATCGACGACCAATTGAAGATAATTTTAATGAGATAATTCTATTCGATAACTAGCGCCATGTACTTGAAAATTCTAAAATGATGCAATTCTTTATACAATCAAGTTCACACTAAATATAACATAAAATAAGATTTTTATCAAAAAGAAAATTTTCGCATTATAGAGGCTTAGTCAACAATCATATAATATTTAATTCGAAAGAGATTTGAAAATATTGAGGATGAATGCGAGTATGTATGGGTGACAGTGAAGAGAAAATATATTACCAGCGCTCATCCATATTCAATCCCATAACCATCCACACTCTCAGGATCATTGTTATTTAAACGTACGGAACTTCGCTTTGTGTATATTCTAGCACATCTGACTGTTGATTTAAAAAAAATGAAGTATAAATATAATTTGTAGTTAATAATTTTTTATTTTATAACATCATCGGTTAGAAAAAAATCATTACTCTAGTCTGACTTTATCGTAGAAGAAATAGTTTTATTTGTCCTTGATTGCCGTTAATAACTTCGATTATAATCAGCTTTATTCTCCTTGAATTTTATGTTATTGTTCAACGGTAGCTGAATATAAATAAAAAAATTTTGTCTATCAAACAATATTTTCAGTGTCATATCATTGTTTTATAATAATAAAGTCATACAATTTCAGGTAAACACAAATGAATTTTTAACGACAACAACTGAAAGATTGATACTGAAACTGTCTATGACTTTTTCATGGCAATTAAATAGATGTAATATAATAAAAAGTACTGAATAATATCCAATGACAATTACCAGAACAGACAATATGATAGGTATGATGTTTGTAATAATAGTTCGTAGCTCATGTGCATGAATAATCATGAAAGAGTATTGTTTCATTACTTAAACGCGATTAGTATATTATAATATATTACTATTGTTGAGTAAGATTACAAAAAAGGTATTCAAATTTTATTTTTAGATATCGGATATCATTTTAAGATTGTAGTTATTTTTATCCTAGACAATTTCCTATTAAAATAATTCTTTTTTTTCAGCTTATCATTGACTCCTTACTCGATTATCTGTACTGACTTTTTTCTATAATTATTCTTTTTCTTCTCATAAATATTTATTGATAGTATTTTTGTAACACGATCCATAAATAACACAAATTCTATTTCAATTAGCGAAGTTAAAAGATTTTCTACTCGTCAATGATGAACAGTCTGTAAGTTTTTCTTTTAAAAATACTTTTATTATTAGCAAATGAATCTTTAATCATCGTATTTCATATGAAACAATTCTTATTAGCTTATCCTTTATTAACAACTCTTTTTTCTCTCTACATTATTAATATTTATCTTTGACATATGTCCGTATTTACATATATTTAATAAAAGAAAAAAAAAATTAAACATTAAACAATCTGAAATAAATAATTTTTTAATATATTTGTAAAGAATGTTTTTAGAGTGCATTTCCTTTGTAGAATAATTTTGAGGCTTCTCTAGCAAAAGTATCTACTTGACGCGTATATATTGACGTCAGTTTGAATAATATAATGATATTAGTTTATAAATAACTAGCCAGTTCTAGAATCTTTGTGTAAACTTTTGCTTTGACTGTAACTTTTAAATACGTAGTCGTAAAGTTATCCTTTTTAGAAAAAGCAGGTAAGCAATATCTATGTATATATTCTTTAATAATGATAACAATGAAAATTATGTTAATAAATAGCAGAAAGAATATGACATGTTCATTTTTATAGAAACATTCAAGTGAAGTAAGAAAATTTTTATATATAGTAACTGATAGATAAACGTTAGAATACAAAAATTGTGCACAGTTTTGTTAAAAAATAATTTAAATAATTCACTTTATTCTTCAGTTAGATAAATTCTTTTTTTCAATGAAGAACAATCATAGCTATATGATATATTTTTTTTTGCGTTCTTCAAGAATTCATTTTAAGAATTTAAGACAACAGAAAGTCATACTAAAAAGATCGTCATTAATAAAAACAATTGTGGGCTGTAATGGTGAGTAAGAATTTTCAGTATTATTTTGTCATTTCCTTTAATAATTAATAATAAAAAGAAGAAAGTGTTATATAAACTCATTTAATAGAAAAAAAATAAGGCCATTGTGAGTAAAATACTTGACAATGATCAAGGAAATTAATAGTAATATGTTTTTACATCTAGTAGCACGCACATACAGATACGCTTGATGACATGTCTCTATAAGTTAACCCTCGACAAAAATTTCTTTGACTTATGAACCAACTAGTAGAAAAAGATTTAATAATTTCCTGATATTATCACGCACGCATCATCCGCACAAGTGATTCAGGTGAAAAATAATATTTCTCTATCAAACATAAGATAATTGAATAGATGCTTATTTCTTTTAGAATATTAATTTTATACAATCTTTGAAGACCATAATATATCGTTGTGCTTTTATGTGCATAGTGTACCAGAAATACCCTATCAAAAATTATTTTGTATATATTTGCTATTTCATTTAATATTCTCAATGACTTCTTTTAAGATTGAAGGTAAATATACCGAATTTTTATTTATTCGAGCGATCTTTCATACTGATCTGTAAAACTATTGTTTTCTTTGTTTTGTCAGAGAAATATTACCTATTCGTTTCTTTTTCTGGAACTATCTCAAACTCCTACGGTAGTGTTCTATTGAGCTTACATCAAAGGAAACAATCTAGTTCTGCAGAACAATATGAAAAGCTATTCCAATGAGTAACAACTCAGTACATTTACCTTCGAGTTAAAAAGATTGTTTAGAATAGTAAATGAAATAGAAAAGATATATAGAAAAAAAGACTTTTGGCACGTTATTTTTGAGACATCCTGTCTACTATAAGAAATTATTCTTTTATAAGTTTTTTTTTCTTTTTCATGCGTGTAATATTGGTTCATGTAGGGTACAATGCAAAACTTGTAAAGACGTAGTTATAAACAATAGGTGAATTGTTAGGGTGAAAACGACAGCTTTATTCATTCTATAAGAATAATTAATATAAAACATGCAAAATATAGGAAAAAAAATGATGAATATACACCAGAATTTATTTATTTTATTTGCATGAATACATACATTTATTATTGATAACTTTTTAACATCTGCTCAGTAGTAGACGGATGTAAGTGTGAAGGTGAAATATGTTTGTATCGTACTCATTTTCTTCTCTTGTTTTCCATCAGATTAATTGAAGAGAGTATTAAGTATAAATGTAAAAAATATATTATTATTCTCTTGATTCTATTTATTTAAGAAATAAATTATCAAATTTATCATGATGAATGAGTCCCTGAATAGTTTTGTCTACAATGAATGGACACAACCAGCTTTAGCATCCTGTCAAATATTAAAATGGATTGGTGGTTATTTATGTTTTACTTTTATTTGTGGTATTACTCTCAATGGTATTATTCTTAGTATTCTTTGTGATAGTAAACATCGTCGATCGCCAATTGATATATTTATAATTTGTTTATGTATTTCTGATTTACTAGCTTCTTTACTTGGCATTCCATTGCCACTTACGTCTAATTTGGCTTGCCGGTAATATAATACTAGAATTTCAATCATATTCATTTTATTTTTAGGTGGTTATATGGTAAATATCTATGTTATTACGAAGGTTTTATTGCTTATTTTGTTGGTATGGTTGGACTTTATTTATTAACTGCTTTATCTCTGAATCGGTTTGAAATTTTTTTTAATTCAAATTCAAATAATATTATAAATATTTTTAAAGATATTGGATCATTGTTACGCCCAACAGAGAAGAATTTGTTACTTTTAAAACTGCTTATATATCAGTATTTTTATCAATACTAGGTGGTTTATTTTGGGCATTACCACCTATACTTGGTTGGTAAGTAAAAATATGATCAAATAGATTTATATTTCCAAAAATAAGAAATAAAAACAAATCTACTTATATCGTACGAAATTTTTAAACTAAAAAAGTTTCCAGGTAAATAGCTAAATCAATGAAAGTCGATTTCTTATTGAAAACATGAACTAGTTGATTACTCGCTTCTTATATTATTAAATAAATTTTTCTCATTTTATATCTCTACTAATAACTATTGATAACGTTTAGGAATGATTATACACTCGAAGGTGCACGAACATCATGTTCAATACGCTGGCAAGATCGAACAGCCAATGTTCTTAGTTACAATATTCTTATGTTTGTTTTTGCATACATTGTGCCATTATCTGTTATGATTTATTGCAATATATGTATATATCTCAAAGTAAATTTAATACTTTATTTATCTATTTAATAAAATCTTAAACATAAGTATATGAAAAATAGGTACGACAAGTTGCTAAAAATAAGTTGCTATGGAATAAATCTATTACTGCATTGAGATCACATCAGAAACGACAAAATGTAGAACAACGTCTGGCAAAAACAGTTTTTATTATTATTCGTAAGTCTTTTTCTTCTCGTATAAGCAATTTAGAATCTAATACAATTTTAAAAAATAGAACAAAAATTAGAATATCAGACATGTCATTCTTTATGTAATATGACAATATTGACAGGTGCTTTTTTTCTGAATTATGGAACGAAAAGAATATAATATTATTACTAGAGTGAGAATAAAATGACGTATTTTCTTAGAATAAGCTTCTTTATTTAAGTATTTTATTGTTTAGTATGACTTTTTTTTCAAGTAAAAGGATTACTTATATTAATTTGAACAGAGATTCAGTTCTGACTAATTCCAGTATCCGTTAGAAAAAATAAATGACTATAATGTTTCTAAGTTCCAATTTATTGCTAAATAAAATATCAATGAAGTTTTGATCTTATGTAACGTGTTCATCGAATTAAATTTGCACTTAAATTTGATCTCTATATTATGTCTAGATATCAATCATTCTTAAATTATAATTTGATCTTTCCGTGATACGTTTTATTCATTAGATGTAACATAATCATGAAACAATTTACGAAGACACGCCTCAAGATATCAAAAGCTCTTTAGATGAGACTTATGCCATCGAGTGCAGCTTACTGAGGCGAGATAAAATCATTTTAGTCGTGAGAGATCTTATCATATCGATAATACTAAATCTAATGTATATATTTTTCTTATAATAATAAACGTAGATAAATACCTAACTATCACAAAAGTTTCTAAAACATATGTCTTAATCTTCTTTCGATATCCACCATTTATTAAAATATGTTTCTTTTAGTTACTTTCAGTATTGCATGGACACCATATGCAATTGTGGCATTTATATCATCATTTTTTTCTCCTACTATAATTTCACCATTAGGTGCTTCAATACCAGGTTATTTGATTTATTTATAATTAATCTCATATCTAATTATCTTTTTTGTCAATAGCAATATTTGCTAAATCATCAGTTTATTTTAATCCATTTGTATATATTATATCAAATTCTCATATTCGTTCAAAATTATTCCATTGGCGAAAAACAATCAATCAAACACGTAATAATTTTTTTATATAGAATAAGAAAAAAAACTTTAGCTATCTATATAATTTTATATTATAGATATCGATCCATCAAAAGAAACAGTTGAACTAACGACTCCGTTAAATAAATGTCGAACTCCATTAACATCTTAAAATACAATATATATTTCGTTTATTATTTTATGTTATATACTATTACTAATTTATTAATATTTTTATTTTTAAGAAAAAGAATAAAACGAAAAGAACAAAAAAATAAATTTCTACGAAGGATAAAAAGAAAAAGAAGATCTATTTTTAATTGATATTTTCTATCGTTTATTTACATTTTTCACAACAATAATTCCTCTAAATTTCGATGCAATTAAAGATCCTTGAACACCTTTTAGAAAAGCTTGTCCAACAATATTCATTGATAATTGATTATTTGTTTTCTCATTTTTTAATAAAACATCACTAACAACATTACGTATAATTATATCACCATCAATATTTCCCACACGTGTATTACCATTTTCTTCTCGAACAATAACTGATTGTTGTGAATTACCATAATTATGAATAATTATTTCACCATAATGTTTTGATAGATCAATAGTTTCATCAACTTCTAAGTCTTTCAACATCATTTGTTTTGGACCACGATATAATTGTAAATCTGTATTTAATGCTAATGTATCAAAACCATATTCCTCGTTTGGTAGAAGTGCATCATCACGAAATACTTCTCTAATTACTTCATTTAAACTATGATTTATTGGTTCTTCAACAATTTGATGACCAGCAGCTAAATAAGTACAAAACTCCATGAGTTAAAGTAATAAAAATAGAAAAATATTTTTCGATCTTATATTTTGTCATATATGTAATGGTAGTTTTTAATAGTACTATGTTACGCTGTTTGAAAACGATAATGAGAGAAATAGAATAATATGTACGCCTCCATCTTCATTATATATCATGATAGGTTGTACGCACTAGGGATCAAATTTTGTTATTATTGTCTTTACAGTCACTAATTATCATGTTTCATAAAATGTCGAACATTTCTTACCTGCTCGCATGACACCATTAACAACATTTTCTAGACTTTCTTCAATTTTTTCTAGTAATGACGATGGATCATATTTTTTTACTAAAATAGAATAATTTAAAAATGGACTTTTTTTTTGTTGTCAAAATTTTACCTGATTTTGTATCAATTTTAAATACTTGCATAGTATTACTTTCATCATCAGCTGATGGTGATGTTATATTATCAACTTTAAATTCATACGATGTATCTTCTTCAAGATTGTCAACTGTAGTGCTTAAATGTTCTTTATCGATTGTTCCAACCTAAATTATTCATTTTTGTTCATAGAGAAAAGAATCGAAAAATTTTCGTATAACATACTTTAGTCCAATCACTCTCCTCATCATCATTATCTGCGGTTTCTTTTTTCGAAAAAACTTCAAAAACATCTTCAAATGTTGCTGGTTCTTCTTCTGGAACAATTGCTTCAATAAGAACACTAGTTGAATCAAGTTTTTGTATTCTAAATTGAGGTGGAGTAGTAGCAGAAGTTTCACTTTTATTTTCATTAATATTTTTTTGAAAGGAAGATTTAGGTGAATTAGGAACAGAAGCTTCATTTTCATCTTCATTTTGATCGATATCTTCTCGTGATGGAAAATGTGATGAATTAGCGTTAGAATTTTCATCTTCATTTCCGACGGATTCTTCTTTAGTAGATAATTGAGGTGATACAGCCGTTGAACCTTCAGTTTCATTTTCAGTAAATACGTCTTTATTTGAGAAGTTAGATGGACTTGCTGTAGAACTTTCAATTTCATGTTCAGCAAATAGTTCTTTAGTTGATACTGGTGGTGAAGTAGTAGTAGGAGTTTCACTTTCATTTTGAGTGACTAAATTAAAAAAGAAATAGAGAATAAAAAGAAATATTATAGATTTTATTGAATTAACATCGTCCTCTTCGTGATGATGGCGTTTTAACATCAAGAATAAGTGAAAGTTGAGAAGAATTTGTTTCATTTTTTGCTGCTGTTGTTCCTGATACCATGGGAGTAAAACGGAATTTATAGTCAGTTCCTTGTTTAAGATTATCAATCGTTAAATGTGGATTATCATGAGTAATATCCGACATCTAGATGAAAAATATGTCGAATATATATATAAAGAAAAATAATATTTTACTTGTTTCCATTGATTTAATTGATTACTTGCTGTATATTCAATTTTATAACTATCATATTCTTTAAAACCTTCTTCTGATATATCAATATCAACTGTAGTTGATGATGTTGGTACGATATGTAGTGAACTTAATAATTCATTAACATTATGTACGGTTAATACTTCAGGTTCGGCTTCCTTTTCTTTAAAACTAATTTTATCTGTTGTACCTGTTTTTGTAATTTCTTCCGGTTCAGATGATGTCGGTATCAAACGAAATTGACATTGTTTAGCATCAGTTAAACTATCAAGTCTAGCTGAATGTTGAGATAATGGTACTTCAAGTACTTTTTCCCATTCCGATTCTTGTTCTTCTTTCTTTTGAATATCATAGAGATTTGATTTTTCCTTTTGTTTAATATTATTATTATTATTATTTTTATTATCATTATCATCTTTTCCAATTTTATTTTCATTTATATCATCGTTCCATGTTAATTGAACGGAATTTGGTGAAAGAATTTCCACATCAGGTATAATGAGATTTTTTTCTCGTGATAAATTAAGATTAATTCCATCAGTTGGTTTACTCATAAATGTTTGACCATTTTGAAGATGTGCTTTAAGACGAAAATAGGATGGAAGATTTTTATTTATTGAATTTTCAGCATCTTTCAATAATGAAATATCTAATTGAGTTTGATTGTCTAATTTATCAATTTTTTCTCCAATAGGTAACCATTCTTCTTTATCACCTATTTGACGTTCAATTGTATAATAATTAATAGCAGATGATGAACTTGGTGATGCCCATTTACAAAATAGACGAATCGATGCATCTTCTTCATTTTGTGCGTTATTTAATGATGGAACAGTTTCACAACGAACAGTAAATGATATTAATTCAATATCTCCAGTCTTGTCATAATCAGATTTATTAGAAGATTTTCGAATACGATCAGAATTGTTCTGTTGATCTTCAGATACTTTTTGACGTTTATCTTCATTTGAGAGATCAATTCTTGTTGAACGATTATTTGTTCTATCTTCATTTGAGAGATCAGTTCTTGTTGAACGATTATTTGTTCTATCTTCATTTGAGAGATCAGTTCTTGTTGAACGATTATTTATTCTATCTTCATTCTGTTGTTTTGATTCTACATAGGAGTAAAATAAAAACTATTGAACTGTGAAAATAATGATATACTTACTTCCATAGTTTGAGTTTTCATCATCGAACATAGATTTGAATTTTTCACGTTTATTTTCTATTGATTCCTTTTCCTTATTTTTCGATGCATTTAAACGATTTTCTTCTGCTTGTTGTTGTCGTTTTTTTTCCGAATCAGCTAATGCTGTATCATATTCATTTAATGCACGTAAACGAGATGATGATGATGACGAAGAAACAGCAGTTCCATTTAAACTTGATGATGGACATTCACGTTGTTCACTATATCGTTGTCGACGTTCTCGTAATTCTTGTACACGACGAGAAGATGTTGGCATTGATGGTTCTCTTGTGCGTTGAAATGTCTCATGTTCTAAGTCCTATTTAAAGAAAAGAATCAGATTTTTCTATCAAAATAAATTAATATATTCTTTTTAATTACTCGAAGACGTTCATAAGCAATACTGCCTTTTAAAACTAATGTATTATTCAATTGATTAAATTCATAAAGAGTTCGACGTCGAGCTCTACCTATTGGCAATAAATCCGCTCGCCAATTGAGATTAATTTCATCTTCACCGAGCATACGTAAAATACGATTAAGTTGTATTTCTTGTCCTGTAATCTATGTAGATAGTTTATTCCAAATACATTCTATAAATTATGATCATCTACTAAAAACTTACTGTTTCATAAGTATTACGTAAAAAATGATAATCTTCTAAACGTTTTTCTGCTCCAACAGCCATAAAATGAGCAACTAAATGTGGAGTTTCTTCCTATGTAATAATAATAATAGATAAATTTGGATGATACGATACAAATTAATTAATTTACACCTTACCATGTCTTATTAGCAAAACTTTTCTTGAATATATAAAAACAAAGAGTGTAAAATATTGATTCTCTCTTTAAAGCATATAAACAAGTGTTTCTGAGATATCTAATAATAATAATATGTCCTATAAAGACAACTAGACAACAAGAGAGTTATTTCGAGGTTCTATTAATATTAGACTTCCACATCCATATAAAAAAAGGGTGACACAGAGACAGATGTTGTTGTTATTATTGATGCCTATCACACACTGATAGATCGTATCGATAAATCATCATATCCGTGCTTAATTGAATATTTTCATTACATCTACAAGATTATTCTCTTCTCTCTCTCATTTTTCTATTGTATCATCATTATAAGAGACTAACAAGTGATAACTGAATAAATTGATGAGAAAAAAAAGAAGGCTGAAATCAAAATGAAAGAAAGATTAGTAGTTTATTGATGATCTTTTGATATCATCAATATTCATTCATAAATCTTGTTGTTGTTGTCGATATTACCTCAAGGTTATTTTTCACAATTCTCTTCCTGTTTTGGATTTTCTTCGAAGTATATTTAGTAAGCTAGAAGCAACGTAATGATAAACAGCTATTGCCACATGTTTATTTGTTTTGTACTGTGCTTGTAATAGAAGCATATCGAATAGATTTCATCCCACCATCATGATCCGTAGCCTTTCCTACTATTGAAATGTCATGATAATCATAGTGGGCGTTATCAATCAAAAACTAAGACACAATACTTGACAGACAACCTGCAGTGAACAACAACAACAACAATAATAACAATCGGAAAAGGATAAAAAATGACATTTTTATTTATACTATCGTAGAAATCAATTTATATGATCGTAAATAGATTAAAAAAATTACAAAAGAAGAAAATCACAGTAGACAAAAAAACTTATAATTTTGATTTCGATCGTTCAACACTTTGCACAATATTCTTTTTAATAAATTCTTCAATATTTTCTTTACTATAACCAACTTCACGTAAGATCTCAATAGTATGTTCACCTGAATGTGGAGATGGTCGATCAATAGATGGTAATTTCGATGATGAAAATCTCGGAGCTATGGTTGGAACAAGTTTATCCTTATTTTCATTTGTTGATGCAAAATTTTTTCTTTGTTGATTATGTTCATGTTGATGTGCTGCATCCCAGCTCAGTACAGGTGTACAACAAGCATCTAATTTATCGAATATTTCTGTCCATTGTTTTTGACTTTTTGTTTTAAAAATTTGCTCAAATTTTTCTTTCATTTCATGAATATTCATTTGATTATGATTTTCATCTTTCGGATCAAGACCAAGTCCAATAAGCAATTGACTATAAAATTGTGGTTCAAGTGCACCAACAGCTATATAAAGTCCATCGGATGTTTCATATGTATCATAAAAATGAACGCCACCATCAAGAAGATTTTCACCACGTTTATCACCAAACCATACCATAGGTAGATCGCGTGAAGCCCACATCCATGAACTAACATAAGCTGATCCTATAAATAAAGAAAATTTTATTTTTATTGACAACAATTAAAAATTCTTAATTTAACCTTCAGCAAGTGATAAATCAAGTACTTGTCCATGATTTGTAGTTTGTCGTTCAAATAAAGCAGCCATAATTGCATAAGCAGCTAATAAACCACCTCCAGCAAAATCAGCTGCTAGATTAATAGGTGCATATGGTTTTTCTTTTGATCTTCCAAACATGGATAATAAACCACTGATTGACAAGTAATTAATATCATGTCCAGCTTTCTTTGCTAAAGTACCATCTTGTCCGTAACCTGATACACGAGTATAAATAAGACGTTTATTATCTTTTAGTAAAACATCTGGACCTAAACCAAGTTTTTCCATAACACCTGGTCGAAATGGTTCGATAAGAACATCAGCTGTCGATGATAAATGTCGCAATATATCAATTCCTGTTGATATTTTAAGATCAATTGAAATTGATCGTTTGCCTCGAGCAAGTTTATCGAGTTTAGCATTTTTCCGATCATCTGTTCGTTCGATACGTATTACAGAAGCACCGTAATCAGCAAGAAGCATACCACAAAATGGAACAGGTGCTAAACCGGATAATTCAAGTACTTTAAGACCACGTAACGCCATATTATGTCTGGAAATAGGAAACAATTATCATTCAGAAAGACATTTTTCATAGTTATCTATTCCGTTGAATTTATCATTATTATTATTATTGAAAATTATTCCTATCCAGTTATGAAATCTTTTCCATAATTCAATAAATTTAATAAAAAAGATAAATAATTACAGTGTCTTTGATGTTTTATTTAACAAAAAAAAAAATAGGGAAGAAGGAGAATAGGAAGGAACAGATACTTAATGTCACTACAAAAAGACAGAGCGAAAAATTGATATCATCATCATATATGTTTGTGCAAGTTCTAAATCTATAGATAGAGACAATAAAATGTTTAATGTAAGGCCCAAAGTTTTTTTAATGCTTTTGTTAATCCCATATCATTGTAATTGAAATAACTGTTATAAGAGAAAGAAAAAAGAAAGAAAGATATATATGAATTTAAAACAATTGTTTTTGAATCTTACCAAAGGCCAGCAAAAGCAATAGCTGTCAATGCATACCGGATCATATTCGCTAATGGTAAAGCTGCTCTTGGACAATAATCAAGAATTACTGTATCCAATCCTGACAAAATATCATACATGTATTATTAAATTTAAAATATTTATTGTGTACAAACCCCAATGAGAATGAATAGCAAGTGATGCAGCAAGTAAATAATTCATGAACGGTCCATCCCAGACAAATGAACCGGGAATAATAGCAAGCATAGCTATAGCTACTACACGTTCCATTTTCCAATGATCAGTGCCAGTTAGTACAGCCATGCCTGCTTTTGGATGTTGAAGTTGTGATGAGAATGTTGGTTGAATAGCTGTTCCAGAAGTAACAGGTAACATTGTTTTCTATTTAGATAGAATTGTATTTAAAAAAAATACAAAAAAATTAATTTTACCATTGATGGTGCATTAAGAAAATATGAATTAATCAATGATGGTTGCGCAATACGACTTAATGGTAGAAAACCACGCATAAGAGCGAAACTCATTTTTGATGATATGTAAAAAAAAATAGTTTATAATCTAAAATAATAAATATCTTTAGTTAAAGTTTGAATACTATCTCTTTTCTATATGTGTTATGCAAGAAAGAATGAATGCATTTTCATTTTTTAAATGACCATGTTGAACCTTGATGTCGATCCTAAAATAAAATTATTATGAATAGAAACAAAATTTACCAAGATATGATATATAATACTTTAATATCAATGCCAAGATATTTCATTTGTAAACGATAATCATCACATTCTTGAAGTATTACTTTTTTTGGATTATCTTCATTAGTTACCGATCGACGACGACTTATATCACGTATATTAGTACGAAATTGAACACTTTTTTCAACAACATTTTCTAATAAAATACGATCTGACGATGTATTCTATTTAAAGAAATATTACGATTACGAAGACACGAAATTAATAAATATAATTTTACTTGATTTTGATGACCAGATATACTCATATCAATACCAAATATTTGAAGCCATGATTGTATAAAATCAACAGCAAGATATAATGCACATGTAGGAGTATTCTTGATTGAATTCTAGAAATTTAAAGAAAATAATTTAATTTTTTATGATAATAGTTTATGATTATATGACATATATATGTCACTTACCATCGATGTATTCATACCTCATTGTCACGTATATCATAATTCATATGTGAATTAATCCAATGAACTAATTCTTGTAAATGAGTCATTGCCGATGGTGTATCAAAATTATTTGCTAATACATCAACAATTTCATCCTGTGTATTTCTTATTCTATATAAAAACAAAAATAATCATTATTCAATAATTTTTTTCGAATGATTGTAATACTTTGATATAGTTTCAGCTTCTGATAAAGATGATATATCTACTAAACCTTTTTGACAGGCTTGAACTGTATCAAAAAATGCTTTAAATAATTTATCAACAAATAATGCTTGTTGTATAGCAGCTGATTCAAATGATCTTGCTAAAAATTTAACAAAATATTATGTTAATATTAAAACTAATTTTTATTTTACGTGAACGATAATCATGCATTAAACAAAATAAACGAAATTGTGTTGATGTATATGTTTTAAGCATATCACGAATAAGTATAGTATTATTTAATGATTTCGACATTTTTTCATCCATTGATTTTGTATTCAATAAACCTAGAATAGATCAATTCCACTAAGTTATATATAGAAAATACTTTGTCTTAGTAGTTTATACCTGCATGTAACCAATATTTAGCCCATGTTTTAATCTCATGATATGCTGTCGATTGAAGAATTTCATTAGCATGATGAGGAAAAACAAGATCTAAACCACCCGAATGTATATCTAGATGAGATCCAAATGTTCGACTAAATATATTTTATATATCAAATTAAAAGATAATATTCTTTAATGATATACCTAGCCATTACAGAACATTCAATATGCCAACCAGGTCTTCCATAACCCCATGGTGATTTAAATTTTAATTCATGACTTGATTCATCTCGTCCTTTCCATAATGCAAAATCTCGAATATTACGTTTTTCATTAAGTATATCTGTTTCTAATGATGATACACCTTGTTCATTCATACGATGATGTTTATATTCATTTTTTTCACCATAACGATTCATATCAAAATAAACTGAACCTGATGGACATGCATAAGCAAATTTATCGTCAATTAATTTTTGTATGAAATTTATAATTAATGGTATATGATCAGATACACGTGCATATATTGTTGGTGGTTGTACATTTAATTTTTGCATATCACCAATAAATTCTTGTTCATATTTTTTTGATATTTCTAAATAATGAACTTGTTCCTATATAGGGAAAATAAAAAACATTTCTTTATTGATTTTAAATAACAAAATAAAGACAACCTTTTGACTACGTTGAATTATTTTATCATCTATATCTGTAATGCCCATCATAAGAACAATATTGTAATTAAAAACATGTTTAAGTATTCGATGTATTATATCAAATGTAACATATGTACTTGCATGACCAATATGAGAACTATCATAAACAGTTGGACCACATGAATACCTTTATTTGAATGAAGACAGAGTTAGTTGGGAAAATAAAATAAAATAGTTTTATATACCAAAATATTGTTCCGGGGTATTTTGGTTCAAATTTTTCCAATGCTTTATTTGTTGAATTATAGATATAGACATCGTGAAGTTGTGAAGATGAATAACACCGACGATAATGTAACAATGAGCGGAATGAAAATAAATTTGATCGAAATATCATTCTAATGTTTACGAAATAATAAACAATAAATAAAATCTCCTATCATGAGCATCATTCTTATTGGTCGAAATCTTTTAACCAATAGAAAAATTAATAAAACATTGATAAAATAAAATTTATCAGATATATATTTTTGATTAGAAAAGAACTTATTTTTTTTTGTCTATTATTTATAGACAAAACATCAATTCTACTTGAAATCATTCGTTTCCATCATGTCATAAAACAAAAGTTGATAGTAGTCAAATCGATATGACTAAGGATATGACAAACATCCTATTTATATTACATTGACTAGTGGCTTTTTTTATAGATCTCTTTTTGACTACAATTATTTCTTCTATTTTAAAATTGACAAAATACAAATGATGCTACCTGATTCACCACAAAATATTGTTATTGTACGTGCACCATCACCATCTGTTCACTATATTCCTGGTAGTATGACTAGTGACACATCAAGTGGAATTTTATTGACGTCACATAATCATCAACAAACAACAGTATCAACAATACAACAACCAGTTCATTCATTTAGTCAACCTGTTTCAGAATCTTGGTGTTTAACAAGTGTTAAAGTTATTAAAGTATGAAAAATATTTTTTTTAAATAATTAACTTTTCTAGAAATGATAGAAAATCTTGACTATTCTTCTATATAAATTTTTTTTCAATGATCAAAAGTTTTATTGAAATTCCTTTTCTTCTTATTTATCTATATGCTGAATAATATAAAAATTCATTAGTTCTATGAGAAAATAAATATATTGTTCTGAAAATGAAACCTTAATAATAATACTTTTTCTTTCTACTCTATCTCATAACATTACTCATTATCAATGTAAATATTTGCTTAATTCGTAATTGATAAAATACTCAATTCATAATAAAACAAAAAAAGAATTTGATTGATTTAATATAATTCGTTTTTTTTTCTATATTTTATAGTTTTCATTTAATTGGTCAATAAATAATTTTTCATTTTGTCGTGAAGAAATGGGTGAAGCTTTAAAATCATCATCATTTTCAGCGAATACAAACGATAAACTTAAATGGTGTTTGCGTCTGAATCCAAAAGGTCTCGATGAAGAATCAAAAGATTATTTATCACTTTATTTATTACTTGTTGCTGCTCCGAATAGTAAATGTGAAACACGAGCTAAATTCAAATTTTCAATATTAAATTCAAAAGGTGATGAAACTAAAGCTATGGAATCTCAACGTGCTTATCGATTTGTTCAAGGTTAATATTTCATTTTTTAGTTGATTTTAAAAAAACTGTTTTTTTTTCGGAATTTTAGGAAAAGATTGGGGTTTTAAAAAATTTATTCGTCGTGATTTTTTAATTGACGAAGCTAATGGCCTTTTACCAGATGATAAACTAACTTTATTTTGTGAAGTTAGTGTAGTTGCAGATAGTGTTAATATCAGTGGACAAACACAGATTAATTCAGTAAAGATATAAATTCTTCTTTTTTTTGTTAACATAAAAAAAACAAATTTTTTTTTCTAGTTTAAAATCCCTGAATGTCAGTTAAGTAATGAATATCAATCATTGCTTGATAATCCAGTATATTCTGATGTAACACTTGTTTGTGGTCAAAGAGAATTTCCTGTTCATAAAGCAATTTTAAGCGCACGATCAAAAGTCTTTCAAGCAATGTTTGAACATAAAATGTTAGAAAATGAACGTTCACGTGTTGAAATTGAAGATATTGATGGTGATATTATGTTTGAAATTCTTCGTTTTATATATACAGGTAAAGCGCAAAATATGGAGAAATTAGCGGATGCACTTTTACCAGCTGCTGATAAATATTGTTTGGAAAGATTAAAAGTACAATGTGAAGAAGCATTATGTTTAACAATTGATCGTGATAATGTTGCTGATACACTTATACTTGCTGATCTTCATTCAGCGACACAATTACGACAACAAGCTATTGATTTTATTAATACACATTCACAAGGTATTAATCATAATTTAAGAAAAAATAAATTAAATTTATTTTTTTATTATTATAGATGTACTGGAAACTCCAGGTTTTCAAATGATGATTGGTACACATCCACATTTATTAGCCGATGCTTATCGAGCAATGGCATCATCACAAAATAATATTATTTGTCCGCCAAGAAAAAAACAAAGAACTGCATAATTGTTATCAATATTTGTCATATCTTCTTTTCTTTCATTCTATATAGGACAGCTCGAAACAGCATACAAACAAAACTCGTTTTTTTTTTTGCTTTTTTTTTGGTCGACATACTTCGTTTTTTTTTATGTGTATTTATCATGTGGTGTATATGTGTATCTCCTTCGTCTGATATAACTTGTCTTGTTGTATATGCATGTACTTTGTGTGTAGTGTGTTTCGAAAAATTAACAAGAGATAGTAACATAAAGAATAAAAAAAGTTTTTATTTCGAAAGAACATATTACATTCGAATGTGACAGTATGTCAGTCGATAGAATTAAATTAAATAAAGTCATTTTAAATATAAAAGTTTACCGACAATTTTCTCTTGCAGATATACGTCAATGCATATGCTCAATTTTTAAATGTATTGAAATATAAAAATAAGAATTCTCATGTACAAAAGTGTATTTATTTCATAGCAAATCTAAATTTATGCAAAAAAAAAGAGAAATTATTAAAAGACAATAAAAGATATTTTAAGACTAATTTTTTTTAACGGTTATTATATCACACCAATAATTGTATCTATTCAAAGATATACAACAAAATTCGATCACAATATAAAGATGATCACAAGAAGAAGAAAAAATAAGGTAAAATGAAAGCAAATTGTTGTGCTAACGTGAGAATAAGCACGCTCAGAAAGAGAATAAATAAATATACATAGAGAGAGAGAAAAAAAACGGCCTATGAATTGAAATATAATACTAGATTCTAAGCTTTATTATTATTATTTTGAAGAATTATTACCATTTGTTGAATTCCATGTTAATCGATCTTCATAGAATTTAATAACTAGTTGTGGAGATTGTTTATTTACAATACGTGATGGAACAAGTTCAGGTTTATGTACTCCTTGCCATTTGACTCTATAATAAAAAAAATTAAGAAAATTATTATTTTAATTATGAAAAATATCTTACAAAAACATTAATTCTCCATCATAAATATCCGTTGCACCCATTAATGTATCTGGTGTAAGTCCACGACCATAACCTGTATCATCAAATTCAATTCGAGGTCGCTTTTTTTTAGAATTATTATTATTATTTTTATCATCATCTGTATTGTCATGCTTATTATGACTACTACTACTACTATGAGATCGTTTTCCATTTGAAGTTTCATTAGTTTTTGATGTTGATGCTTGTTGTTGTTGTTGTTTTTCTTTTTGATCAGCCATAAATGCGGCTACTAATTCGGGACATTCAAGATGTTCTGCAGGTTCCTGCAATAATACAAAGTATTGTGAGATGAAATTAAATATGAAAGAAAGTTTTTTTTTACCCATGTATTTTCATTGTGAGAAAAGCCTTTCCACTTAAGTAAATCTTTAATAATTGTACAGAAGAAATTTAATAATGTTGATCATTTTGAAAAAAAAAAGAAAGTGAAATTTCTTACATTGGACTTTGCCTTTTTTTGTTGTACGCATTTCAAGAACTTTTTCAACAATATATTCATCTTCTTCAACATCAGAATTTGTATCCGAATCAGATATATTTGTAGCTCCTTTTTCGGATGATTTTTCAACTTTGTCGTCGTCATCATCGATAGGATTTCGACCCATTTTCTTTTTGCTCGTTAATAATGTCTATTCAACTAAGAATGACGACGTGTATCTTAATTGATACGAAAAACAATCGTTGATTATCAACCGTATAAAACAAAAAACGAAGAGGAATGTTACGTAAAAAGGTATATAAAACGACAAATAAAATAACGACGGTTGTCAGCTATGAACCGCTATCGTATTCTCATAAAGAGCTACCTTCAATGGCAAGAAAGTATACTCTTTCTTACAAGGTAATGTAAGGACATATTCAAATAGCGACCAAAAGTATGAACAAGAAGAAAAAAAAAGGAACAAACAGAAAGCCTTGCTTGATCATTGGTATTGAAGTTATCCAATAATGAAAGGTGTTTAATCAATTCACCTAGTGACATCCATTACTTATACACACATAATATATATTTACCTTGTACTTGAGTTATGGAGAAAAAGAAGAGATGCATAGTATATCATATAAACTCATGTAGATATTAAAATTATGCATTAATTAATTTTCATTCAATTAGTTGTATAATAAAAAAAATAAGAATGAAATATTTCAAAATCTTCATATAATATTAAAAAATACTTGTTAGTACGAGTAAAAATAGGGTCAAAGTCAGGATGAACTAGTCCGGTCACCAGAAGAAGCAAAGTCAGTAATTACCATCAGTTACACTATTTTTCACGCATTTCTTTCAAGGATCATGGGGCACATGTGATTTTCTGGTTACGCTACTAAGTAAAGAAATCATTATTTATCTTGGTATGAAAATATAACACCAACATTGTCACTCGTATGCACGTCTCTCTATTTCAGTGAAGGTTAAACTACTTCGCAGAAGATTACTGTCTATTGAAACCATAAAAATAATATATAATTGACGTTTTTATATGATTTAGCATTCTTAAAAATTAGATATGTGCACAAATAAAGGTCTATTAATTATTTTATATATTCGCTTATAGTATACTATATTTCATATTACTATCAAGTAGATATGTATTATGTCAGTATTTTGCATCTTTTTTTT